ACACCACATGTGCCCTGGGGTCAGAGTGGGGTGGGCACCAGAACACGTACACGTAGTCCAAAAGGGAAACCAGTGATGCCTTAAAAACAGTGATGTTTTTGTCAGGGTCCTAAAAGTGGGCTTGCCTGTCTTCTGGGGCCGAGAGCACAAGAACAAGAGTTCTAGATTAGTGGCCTCCCCGATCCTCTCTTCTTGTCTTGTGTACCAGTAAATGGACATTTCAGATCCCATGTCAAGTCTGTCCAGATACCACTGCCACCCAATGGCCTCTTATGTCTACAGTCAGGAAGACTAAGACACATAAAAAGTGTTTTGTGGACATGGAAATAGGTTTGGTACCATCTGGTCACTGAACTGGGAGGTCTGGGTTTACAGAGAAGCAATGATCTAGAAGATAGATTCTCGGCCTGTGGACAGTCATGTTTTCTCTACTCACAGACTCCCATTAGAGGGGCAACAGCTGGACAAGGGACAGTAGGGACCTTTCTGAGGTATGAGTCCCAGAGGTAAAATCTTGATGACAGATCTAGGAGAAGTTCTTCCTAATGGATAAGTAGACATGAGCTAATAAGTTAGGCATGAGGGAGCCTTCCATAGGAGGTGTAGCATCCCAAGGTCTCCAAGATGGGAAAAAGCTGGCTTAACTCTAAAAATAGGGGTGTGAGAGGAGATGAGGCTGGAGAATGGACACGAGTCTGTGGGTCAAGAGAAGGATCTGACTGTATAGAAGACATAGACATAATGGACCAGTGAAAGATCATTTGAATACTCCAAGAACATTCCTTCCTGGTTGAACTATGATGCAGCCAATATGGCACTTGATGTGGGAAGAGAAAGCAAGATGTTCAGTTTGGCTAGGCCTACGAGTACTGAAAGGGGAGTGATAAGGATGATGATGATGATGATGATGATGATGATGATGATGATGATGATGATGAAAATGATGTCACACATGCTGACATACAACTATAATTATACCCACTGGGGAGGTTGAGGCATAAGGATTGTGAGATCAAGGACAGTTTAGACAAGTTACTGAGATTCTGTCTCAAAATAAAGAATGGCCAGGGATGTAAGCCAGTGGTTGAGTACTTTTCTAGTTTATGAAAGGCTCTGAAGTCAGTCTCCAGGATAGGAAGAAAGGAAGGTTGGAAGGGACAAAGAGGGACAGAGCAGGGAGGAAGGAAGGGAGGGAGAGAGAGGGAGGAGGAGAAGGAAGGAAGGAAGGAAGGAAGGAAGGAAGGAAGGATATATCTGGAAAGGAGCAATTGTAGAGAAACTGTAGGCTGTAGGCATGGCTCAGGGGTTAGGATCATCAGAGCAAACCCAAGCCTTCTGAGACAAGCTTTTTTTTTTTTTTTTTTTTGAGAGACATGAATCATTTTACTTTTCTAGGTGGGATATACAATTTAACGTTAGAGTTACAATGCATTTTAACAACTTGAACAGTTTGTTTTAGGCAAAAATTATTTGTCTGCAAACACATTTAAATTTTTTCTTTTCAGATTAGTGAAGCCAAAATTTCTCTTGGCTTGAGGCACCAAAACCACAATCATTTAAGGGCATTGTTCTAAGAAGCCCGTTCATCTGTCCCCACCTTTCTTTTAAACTGAGGGACTGGAGAGATGACTTAGCAGCAGGGAGTGCTTTTTGCATAAGCCCTGAGGGATCTGTCCAATGCACATACCCACAGAGAAACTCACACAGACAGGCACATATAAATAACTCTATCAATAAATCATGTTTATGTATATATGAACTGGCCCAGAATCTGATTCTCTGCTCATTCATGTTGTACCACTGAAATCAGGTAAAACAGTCTCCTACAGGTAACTCCCCTGCACTCTGGGCTCTGGGTGTTCCCTATAGTAGAGTAACAGTACTGCGAGCTATTTCATGTTTTCCTTTGTGACTGATGTCCTGAAACTCTCTCTAAATTGGCAGCACACTTCCCCTCTGCTTGGTAAGTGTAACTGCCATTTATGTTGTGGGCAACATTTGATACCACCAAAAGTTTTGTCTCTATTTTTTTTCATTTATCTTGTTTCATTATTAACACTCTCACCACTTAGCACCAATAAAATCATAAATACACTATGCTATCACAAGATTGCCTTTGCAGTTTGCAACTTGATGGTGTGTGTGTGTGTGTGTGTGTGTGTTTGTGTGTGTGTGTGTGAGAGAGAGAGAGAGAGAGAGGTGGGGGAGATATCACAGAGAGAGAGAGAGAGAGAGATTATGATAACAGTGCTTATATAATCTCAACAGCTAGGGGCCCTAGGGACTCACACTCAGGCTTGGAACAGTTGGTTTAAATTATGTTTCCATGTGAAATACAGTATTGCTATTTTTTCCCTAGCATGTGGGAAAGTGTATGGGAAATGATTTGACTGATAGGAAATAAATCTGTGTGCGTGATCAGGATTGAGACACAAACAAGTAGTGCTCTGTGCTGCTCTGAGAGGAGGCCCCTCCTGGGTGAGCATTAACCCTTTCCACTCACTACATGGCAGGAATGTTACAGTGACTTTCAGTCTGAAAGGCCCTAAAGCCGCAGGACTCAAGCAGCCCCTGGCCTCAGGCAGGAACTGGGTGACTCGACTCTGCGGAGCCATTTTAAGTGTTCAGGACCCCATTTCTACTTGTAAAGAAAAATTTGATTTGGCTCCCCATTCTAGGTTAAGGTCCACCAAAAGCAAACCGAGCTAAAGGAAGAATTGGCTAGTAGCACCAACCACGGCCAGTCTCTGTTGGGCAAATACCTTCTTGGTCCAGCAGGGCCAAGGTTTCAGGAGGGAAGCAAGGCTTGGAGACCAAGCAGGGGATTGCTTGCAGCTGCAGGAGAGCTCAGCTCTGAGACCCCCCAGAGAATTTCCTAGGCGAGCAGCACAGGACAGACTGATTCCAGGTCTGTTCTGATTTTGCATGCAGCTGGCATCCTCCCGAGCAGGGAGCTACCAGAGCATACCCAGAGCCACCTGGGCATTGGAGCAACAGGTTTTAAACTTCAGCCTGTTTCAGAAAGAAATCAGCAGCTTCTTACTCCAGTGAACCCACTGCCAGAGTACAGCCCTGCCTCATCACTGCCCTGCCCCATTGCCCTACTTGTTTCTGTGGCGGGGTTGAGCCTCCATCCTCTACACTGTGGTTTGGCTTGGGGTTTTGATGGTGATGGTTTTTCTTTAATGATCTTGCGGGTACAGTTCTTGGTGTGTTTTCCTTTAATCCTGTCTCTCTCTGTCTCTATCTTCAAAGGCAAAGCTCCAAACTGAGCGCTCAGAAGGGTCCCCCCAGGAAAGAAATAAGTAAAGAAATTGTCACCTTTCATGAGCTAAATAAGAGCACTAAAGTGAGGGCCGTCGTCTTTAAGAAGTTATTTCTCCTGAGACGTGTATTCTTTTGGTTTGTTTGCTTTGTTTTGTTCTTGGTCTTGTTTCATTTCTTTTGTTTTGGTTGCGATGCTGGGGCTCAAACCCAGGGCCTGGTACACCATAGATTCTAGATCTGAAAAACTGCCATTGGACATCCCTCTCTGGTTGCTGCCAACACTAAGTGTCATTAATTCTTATTGTTTCCATTTGTGGGCAGTGTGTTCTCTGCCTTGAACTCCTATTTCCTCAGATGTCTGGGTCATCATGAACTCTGTTCAGGCCTCTTTTCACACAGGCTGAAGAAAGAGTTGTTCCTTAGGTGTCAGCTCTGTTGCTGACCCATATGCAACTAATATCGTCAACAACAGACAACTGGTCACCCTCCCGTGAGTTGGCCAGGGTGGAGAAGGCAAGTCAACTTAGTGGAGAGCGGTGGCCAAGCACCAGGATGAACAATAGGAAAATAATCTCAGAGCAGGAGGAGGTGACCTAGACACTGATGCCATAAAGGGGGTGTAGATGGGAATCACCAAGTTTTATCCGCTGGACTCTGTGGTAGAAAAAGCAAGTCACAGTAGAAAAATGTAATCTGGAAGCCAGCAAACATGATATTTTCTGTGTGCTCACTTGGTGGTGAGGGTTTTATGGGGCGGGCCACCAAATGTCAACCCCTAGTCCAAGGTAAGCCTTTGCTACCTATGGCCTGAGGATCTTCAGCTGGCCTCGTGGGTACTCACCCTCCCTAACTCTGGATTATTGTGAGAGACAAGTGAGGTGGGATAATGAGAGCACTTAGAACAGCTCCTGCTGTAGAAGCGTGTTTACACTTCTCATTGTTTTGTCATTTGGAGAAGATAATAAATTAGTATGTTTAAGAGATTGTTCAAAATATTTTTGTATTTTTTTGCTTGGTACCATCCATTCTAATTCTGTTAAGATTTTTATTTATTTATGCATATGTGTGTGTGTGCATGTGTGTGTATGTATGTGCACACATGCACAAGAGTTCATGCCATGCCATCCACGTGGAGACAGAAGACAACATTGGAGAACTTTCATTCTCTCTTTACACCATGTGGGTGCCAGAGATGAAAATCAGGCTGTCAGACTTTGATGGCAGGTGCTTCTGCTTGCTTAGCCATCTAACAAGCCCTGATATCATATCATACATTTCATTGCTTGATAAGGGTTTTCAACTTACGGGCTAAGTACAATGACTGAATTTAATCTTCACGTCCATCAGCCACATTCCATCAAGAGTATCCATGGGGGATGGATATATATATATATATATATATATATATATATATATATATATATATATACACACACACACACACACACACACATACACACACACACACACACACACACACATTGGAGTTTCAAGGAATCATGTAGATCAAGAGGGTTTTTATTGCAAGATGGATATGAAGATGTAAACAGATTGACTTCCCAGGGGGCATATCAAAACAGCAATGGAGCTGGTTTTTCACGTTAGAACTCTCTGCTTTTCTTTTCCAGTTCCCAAACTGATTTTCTTTTTAATCCAAAAGTAAACAAACAAACAGTGTTTACTGAGTTTTCCAGACATGTCTTCAGTGAATGCCTCCCCCCACCATCTTCCAGGTGAGTTCCTGGGTGACATGGCTGATCCTCACAGCAGGCTCCATGGAGGAGAAGCGGGAAGTCTTCTCACATCTGGTGCATGTGGCCAAATGCTGCTGGAACATGGGCAACTACAACGCTGTTATGGAGTTCCTGGCTGGCCTCAGGTAAGAAAGTATGGCGATCTGGACAGGTTTCTCTGTCTACTTAGATATCTCTGAATTAATTCCCTGGGCAGCCAGCCAAATTACCAAGGTACCTAATTGGTAGTTATCATGAAGGGGAAATGCACTACTTTCTTCCAGCTCCAAAGCCCTGGTTCCTTGAAGGGAGAGGAAAAGAGAGGAGAGGGAAGGTAGGGAGGGAGAAGAAAAGGGGAGGGGGGCTAACAGGGCAGGGGGAACAGGTGTTGAAGGAGCTAAAAGTACTACTTGGCTGGCTGTAATTGTCTCTGCCCTCACAGACATAGGTGTGGATGATTCTCACTTTCCTTCCCAGTGACTCCCTGTCTGCCCACCTGCTTCTTGTGCCAGGGCATGATGACCTAGTGTTCCAGCTTTCTCAGCACTGTCGTGAATACCTGAGAAAACAGCTTGGCTAACTAAAGCATGTTGATTGATTGGAGAGGAGGAATATTGCAAATCAAGAGTCAACATCATCTTGGGTTGTGTTTAGTCTCTTTTATATCAGTTTATTGTCAACCCCTAACATTGAGGTGACTCTTAGGTGAAACTTTTGGAATGTATTGCTAAGTTTCACAAATCTTTATCCTTCACTAGCCCTAAAGCTAAGAATATCAGAAGACAGCATATGAAATCTGAAGAAGAGGTTTCTCTACTTTGTCCATCTCACCTACCTGCTATTCCCAGCAATATATATTGATAGATGAGTTTGTTTTGTTCTGTGACTATAAAAGTTCACATAACCTATTCCATGGTGGGGCACGTCATTCAGAGGATTAAGAACCTATGTTTCTAGGTCATGTTCACTCATATTTGCACAGAATAAGCCATTTTCCTATATCCTTTGAAGAGTAGTCATTTTACACCAGTATCATCAACCTTGTTTTCCTCCTGATAATACACTCAAGTCAACATATAACTTCCAGCTTTGTTAATTAGCCTTATTTCTATTTGAGTCTGTGCTATTTAATTTTTAACTTTATTATTATTTTATGTATGACATATACGGAGCCTGTGCATGCAGAGGTCAGAGAACAGTTTCTGGAGTTAGTTTTCTCCTTCTGTGTTTACTTGAATCCCGGGCCCCAACTCAAGTCTTCAGACTTGTGCACTAAGTGCCTTTACCCTCTGAAGCAGCCCTTACTTTGTAGTTTACTTTACATAAATAATAATTCTCATCATCTTGGGAAGTAACTGAAGACAGAAATCCTCAATAAACCAATTAGTAACACAGGAAAAAAATCCCTAAGAAGGTTAAAGACATTGAAGTTGTATGGAATTCTGTCTACATACCGTAAGATACGTTGTCACCCCTTCGGGCTTAAATATATATATATATATATATATATATATATATATATATATATATATTTAAAAATATAATATATTGGGGGGTGGGTAAAAAAATATAATATATATGTATGTATATATATATATATATAATTTACTTGCAATAGGTCAAGGAAAGTTCTAAAGATGTGGCAGTTCATGGATCAGTCTGACATTGAGACCATGAGGAGCCTGAAGGATGCCATGGCTCAGCATGAGTCTTCCCTGGAGTACAAGAAGATGGTGACCCGTGCTCTGCACATCCCCGGCTGTAAGGTGGTTCCCTTCTGTGGGGTGTTCCTGAAGGAGCTCTGTGAAGTGCTTGATGGCGCCTCCAGCCTCCTGAAGCTCTGCCCACGGTACAGCTCCCAAGAAGAAGCTCTGGAGGTAAGTGTCTCCAAGTGGGTAACCCCCTGAGATGCCCTCCTGGTCCTTAGTGCAGAAAATCACTTCCTGAGTCTAGAGTAATCCTTGGTGTGTTGTTCCTGGGCAGAGGAGGTCCTTGAAAGTTCTGCAGAAAGTAATATAAGCTACTTGAAACTCAATATTGTTACTTTAGATTTAATATGACACCGTTGAACACAAAGGAGAAAATGTCATTGGAATTTTGTTGTTTTAATTTTAAAAGTTGGTAAATTTTTGCTATAGGGTAAAACTGTCTGGATTCAGAGAATAAAATCAAATGAGAGCAATAATTTCCAAATCAGTGGGTAGAGTACTTGGGAAAACCATTGTTGTCTTCTCTTCTTGCATGTAAGAAGATGCCAAGAGCACGGGTGCCTCAACCAGACACATAGGCTCTGACCCACCCCCTAGACCAGTGGCTTCTGCTCTTAACTCCTGCCGAAGTGGAGAGGACAGTGTAAGCTTTGATCAAGACATTGAGTAAGGGACATAGAGAGGCTCAAAGAAATAAGGAAACCTCCCTCTGTTTAAAAGTGAAATAAAAGTCTTTTTAAAATGTGTTAGGGAGGTGGTTGAGGCATTATGTATTTGGAAAACTCAAGACCAAATCCAGGGTCATTCACAGTCTCATTAGTGGACACACACGCACACACACACACACACACACACACACACGCACACACACACGTGCACTGTGTGTACAAAACGTGTTCCTTCTTACTTGAAGTGTGAAGACTCATAAAACTTCAGCCCATTTCACGTCACCTGAGAACAGAGGCATCACTTGGTCCAGGAAGACTTGAGGTCCACAAACAGGCACAAGTGATACCCACTGGCTAATATTTCTTTGGTTTTAGCAGGTGGTATTAAACGCCCAGTAAATGATGAGAAAGCTTTAGGAAACCTCCCACCCTCCGCTCTCCTCTGCTGCCTGTGGTGAAGAAGGAGCGCTGCTTCTCTTGCCTGGGCAGTGGGTCTTCCCTCTAATTCTGGAAGCTTCCTGGTCAAGATGAAGCCACGCCAATAGCTTAAAAACCACCAAGAAGGGGGCTGGAGAGATGGCTCAGTGGTTAAGAGCATTGCCTGCTCTTCCAAAGGTCCTGAGTTCGATTCCCAGCAACCACATGGCTCACAACCATCTGTAATGAGGTCTGGTGCCCTCTTCTGGCCTGCAGACATACACACAGACAGAACATTGTATACATAATAAATAAATAAATAAATATTAAAAAAAAAAAAACACCAAGAAGCTACTGTCTTCCTACAGCACACATGGACCAGAAAGCCAAAAGGCAGCTTTTTAAGTGTGTGTCTTGAGCCAGGTCACTTCATCTTGTTCCGTGTCCTGGTGCTCTTTAACCGTGGTTCTCTCCTCAGTTCCCATTACAAGAATAAAATAGCTGCCCTTCCCTGTGAAGTGGCTAACCTTGTCCCGAGGGAGCCATGAGATAATATTGCCTTTTGTGTTATAAATTCAGAGTGCAGTTTAGATTCCTAGAGGTGCTGAGATTGTAGCAGCAAGAAAAGGGCAAGTTTTGGGATTTCACGTGGTGGGATGAAAACACAGGAAATAAAAACTTGTCTTGGAGTCTCTTGTAGTAAAGCAAGCACAGATGTCATTATTTACCACTGTTATAATTAAGTCTCCCAGCCTAAAATCAGACCTTTTAGGTTGCCACAGTGCATTCCTGAACTTTCCTCCTGTAGTTTGTAGCTGATTACAGTGGCCAAGACAACTTCTTACAACGAGTGGGGCAGAATGGCTTGAAGAATTCAGAGAAGGAGTCCACGGTCAACAGCATCTTTCAGATCATCCGGAGCTGCAGTCGAAGCCTGGAGATGGAGGAGGAGGACAGCTCCAGCGAAGGGACTGGCTCCAGGAAGAACTCCTTGAAGGACAGAACCCGATGGCAGTAAGTTCCCGCGTCGATGTGTATGCGGGTGGACGCCTTTCTTCTCCTTACCATTGACTAGTCTTTTCCTACTCCGTGGAGTTTCACATAAAAACCTAATGGAAACATTGTCCCTTTCATACCTAACCAAGGGTCCTCTACAAACCTTACCAATTCAGAGTCTGAATTAGCCTTTCCCGTGTTGCTCCTTTGTTCTAAAATTACTATGTACATTTTACTTTTTCCATGAGTTGTAGCCTTTGAAAAAAATTATTAGTTTTGTTTTTTAACTGATAGTAAAATTTTAGAAATGTATATATTAGTGGGCTACATATTATCCCTTTAAAAAGATGGCTATCTTGTCATTTCTAAAACATCAATAATTGGATTTCAGGATTGAAACCTCAATCTTGTATTTACTTTATAGTTTTCATAATGGTGGATCCTATTAAATCCTGGGTGAATATTAAATTTTTTTAAAATAGGGTTGGAGAGATGCTAAGAGGTTAAGAGCACTGGCTGCTCTTCCAGAGGTCCTGAGTTCAATTCCCAGCAACCACATGGTGACTCACAGCCTCTATAATGAGATCTGGTGCCCTCTTCTGGCATGCAGTCATACATGGAGACAGAATGTTATACTAATAAATGTTAAACTAATAAATAAGCAAATCTTTTAGAAAACATTGTAAAATAAAATATCTGGTGTGATAGGTATTAGATACTCAGAAATCAGTACCTTCAACGGCCTACTTGGGATTTGGGGTTCTAACATCTCATTTTGAGTTACCCTGCGCCAGGGGATATTTTAGTTAGCCCCACATACCGGGGACCGGGGAGCTGATACTTTACAATTGTTTAGTTGTTTCATTTGCTGCTTATCACACACGCTACAGTCTAGCCAAACATGGTCACCCACAATGAAATGAAAGACGAGGACTCAGTTGGGCACCTGTTGGCTTTTCTTAAAGCCTTTTACACATAGCAGAGCCTGGCTCAAGGGGAGGAATACTTTCAAAGCACCCCAAACCTTTAGGTCTCCTGGCTTTGCTAGTCAAGGTTTTTCGCGTAGTCAATCTTCTCAGGTACTCATCATAGCTGCCTTGGTCCTTAACCTGTGTGTGCATATTGTGGTAAGCTCTAGAGTGACAAGGGTCTCAGTAGCTTTGGAAAAGGACTTCTTTAGAGTTAGGCTCGATCCTTGGGCTCTGTTGCCAATGTAGAAGTGAGCGGCATTTATCTGAGTCTCTGCTGTTCCTTTGTTTCAAGGGAGTAAAGCTAACTCCAGATTTCTCCAAGGCCCTTGGGCTTTCTTCCACACATCATTTTCTAGCTCTCTCCATCTTGAAGGAGTTGTGCTCAAAGATTTGCTAGTGCCACCTTTGTCGTAATGTCTTGGCTGGAATGTTCAATTATCTCACATATATATTTTCCATTAGTTCTTCTGTTGTTTTGCTGTGTCTCAAACTAGAGAACGCTTTAATATGTTCTCAGTAGCAGGTTGCTGACATCAACAGAAATCTTTACGTGGAAACAGGGTCATCCACAAAGAAGGACATCTCTACAGGAAGCACTTCCCAGTCATTCAAATGACCTCTACCAGTCCACCACATGGTTATGTGTGTATCTGCCACCACAAAGATTTGTGCATATTTACATGAGTAAAAATGAATAATTAAGAAGGTTATTAGGAAAAATGAAAATAAGGATAGGAAAACTGTGTGATTATTTTGAGTCTTATTTTAAAAAGTTCTTACCTATGCCTATATCCTAAAACATTTTACCCATGTTTTCCTCTAACTATTTTAAAGTTTCTGCTCTTAAATTAAGGTCTTTGCTCTATTTCAAATTGATTTTTATGTTGAGTGAGATTCGGGGATTGAGTTCTTCACTGGGTATAATTTTTCCCAGCACCATTTGTAGAAGTGGTATCTTCTTCAGTGTATGTTTTTGATATCTTTATCAAAGATTGGGTGGCACTCACTGTGTAGATTTATTTCTGGTTCCTCTATTATATTCTATATATTTATATGTCAGTGGCTTGTTCTTTCTGTTGTTATGATTTATATAATACAACTAAATCTGTAGACTGCTTTTGGTAATATGACCCTTTTTACAGTATTAATTCTGCTAATCTACCAGCTTGAAAAGTCTTCCCATCTTTTTTGTTTAATTTTATTTATTTATTGTGTATATAGTGTTCTGCCTGATTGTGTATGCTTGCATGACAGAAGAGGGCACCAGATCTCATTACAGATGGTTGTAAGCCTCAATAAGGTTGCTGAGAATTGAACTCAGGACCTGTAATAATTAGGGCGGCAGGGCTGCGTTCCCAGCACCCCGGCTAGCTTATGCCCGAAATAACAACACACAAACTGTATTCATTTAATCACTGCTTGGCCCATGTCTATCTAGCCTCTTCTAGGCTAATTCTCACATATTAATTTAGCCCATTTCTAATCATCTGTGTTGCGCCCCTAGGTGCGCTTACCGGGAAGATTCTAGCCTGTGTCCATCCTGGGTTGGAGCTTCATAGCGTGCGTCTGCCTAGGAGCCAGGAGCATGGTGTCTCTCTGAGGCATCTGCTCCCCAGAGCAGAGCTGTCGAGTCTGACGTCACTTCCTCTTCCTCCCAGCATTTTGTTCTGTTTACTCCTCCCACCTATCCTCTAACCAATAACCTTCCTCCATCAAGGACCTCTGGAAGAACAGCCAGTACTCTTAACCTCTGAGTTATCTCTCCAGCACCCCTTCCCATCTTTTGATACCTTCTTCATTTTCCTTGGAGTTTTAATGTTTTTATTGAGCAGCCTTTCCTTGGTTATATTTTATTTCTTAGGTGTTTGGGGGGATTGTTTTGTGTTGGGAGGACAATTCTTTGTTTTGAAACAGGATCTAACTATGTAGATGTTCTGAAACTCACTGTGTAGACCAGGCTAGCCTTGACTTGAATGCATAGAAATACCTCTGTCTCTGGAGTGCTGAAATTAAAGCCCTGAACCATCATGTTCCACTTATAGGTATTTTTAACTGTAATTCTGTTGTAAATGGAATGTTTTTCCTGATTTCTTTCTTCATAATTTCATTACTGACATAAAGGAAAGCTACTGAATTTTGTACATTAATTTTGTATCCTGATACTTTGCAGTCTTCTTTTGCTTCTTTGTACCTTGTTGGGGGCATTGATCATTTTCACCAGTAAATTCTAAAATCTTCCTTCACCATTTTACCCAATCCATCATCTCTGAGTTCAGCAGTTAAAGAGCCATACTTCTTTGGAGGGGTGCTGACCGTGTGTTAATCCGCTGTAACCCATACTTTCATTGGGTTAAATATTGCTTCTGTATTTGTGTGGCCATCTTCTTATTGAACAGCTCACTTTTGAGGGCTTGCACCTCTAGTGTGGCTCATATTGGATAGGACAAACAATGGTAGCCTGTCACCATACACCAAACAATACACGCTACAGACATTCTTAAAAAAAAAAAAGAAAAGCCAACTAACATGTAATTCATGACTATTAAGTCAGAAAATGGGGAAACTATTGTAAGTTTTGCTATTAAGTTAAATTTTATTTAGGATCAAAGCTGTAAATAAAACCAATGAGGGAATGGGACAGGGAGAAGGGGAAATGGAGGAGAAGCAAAGTTAAATAAACCAAAGAAAGGGAGAGCAGTAGAGGAAAGTGTAATGGAGGGAAAGAGGGAAGAACAGGAAATTAGGAAAAATGAAGAAAGACTTCCAGACACTGAGAAAACCCATTGTCAAAATTAGGTAAGTAGATAAGTTAATAAAGAAGAGAAATTAAAATCTGAGATGTTTTTGGTTTCTTGTTTGTTCTTGTTTTTAGCCAATGTGTACAAACACTACTAAAAGTGTAGTAAGAAGAAAAACTGAAGTGGGCGGCAATATGGGAGATCCGAAAAGAGACTGACTGCAGAAAATAACATTCATAGGCAAAACTGTGTGAATGTATAAAAGGGAATAAAATAAATACATAAAGCCCTTTAAAATATGACAAAGTAAAATAGTAGTAAAGTGTTTAAAGGGGATTTGGTACGAACAACCTCTCCTTGTGCTGGGATTTTGTCTGGCTTATGGCTGAGTCGGTCTGAAGCATGCTGTCATGATTGCTGGGCATCCGCATGTGCCTCTGCCTGTAACATGCAGAAAACACTGTCTGCAGGGTCGGTCAGCACCTCTGGCTCCTGGAATCTTTTCTTCTGCAAAGATCCCTGAGCCATGTGGGGAGAGAGGAAATGCAAACATTTGGGGCTAGGTACTCTGATAGCTCTTATTCTCTGCCCTCTCTGAGTTCATTGTTGTCTACCACAAAGAACTTCTCTGATGAGGGATGAGAGATGCGCTGATCTATGGGTGGAGCAATTAATCGTTAACGGAGTTATGGTGCTTGCTTCTCCACTAGGGCCCAGAGAACATCGAATTACTGCTGGGAGGGAAAATGTCAGTTTTCTTCATGGAGTAGCTCCAGCTATATTGAAGCACACTCCAGGGCAGGTGCCACACCTAGGACTAGTTGGCCAACACTAGCCGGTTTAGGGCGTGGGTGGCAAACATTTGGGTAGGTAGGTGTTGCACGGAGAGCAGGGCCCTTGTTCCGTCCTGGCCACCCGGCTAGCTTACACCCGAAATAATCACACAGAAACTGTATTAATTAAATCACTGCCTGGCCCATTATCTCTAGCCTCTTATTGGCTAACTCTCACATCTTGATTTAACCCATTTTTACTAATCTGTATATCACCATGAGGCCGTGGCTTACCAGGAAAGATTCAGCATGTCTGATTCTGGCGGCTTCATGGCCTCTCTCCCTCACTCTGCTTTCTTCCTCCCAGAATTCAGTTCTGTCTCCTCTGCCTCCCTAAGTTCTGCCCTATCAGCTAGGCCAAGGGAGTTTCTTTATTCATTAGCCAATAAAAGCAACACACAAACAGAAGGAGCTCCTACACCAGGTAGGGATGTGGAGGAGAACCTGAAAGGACTCGGGAGAGGGCAATGGATATG